TTGGCCTGGATGGTGGGGATGGGCTTTGGTTTGCCGGTGAGGAGGGGGATGATGGATTCGGGGGGGATGGGGAACCATTCCGAGGGTTTGGTCCAGTGGACTGCTGTGGTGGAGGTGGTTTCTAGATCAGGTTCGGAGGGGGTGTTGTCGTAGTTGTGGGAGCCGATTCCTGAGCCGAGGAGGCGGTCGGGGATCGTGGCTGGGGTTGTTGATTTATCCTTCGGAGGCTGTTCTTTCTCGTGGGTGCCCTTGAGGGGGGGCGGTTTGGTAGGCAAATCGTAGGATCCCTTCCCCTTGCTTTCCTCCTTTAGGCTTGGGATCTTGACTGGTGTGTCGCCGTGTCCGTGGTCGTGGTCGTGGTCGTCTACCACTTCGGGCGTTGGTTTCTCCTCAACTTGGACCTTGGGCGCCGGCGGCTTGACCTCCACTACTGCTGGATCTTCCTTGACAACGGGCGGTTTGGCAACAACGGGCGCCTGGGGTTTCTCGGCCGGTTTCGTCTCGACCTTTGTCTCCCGATGTCTTGTGCTGGTATGCCATATCTCTTGCGTCCTATCCCATTGTGAATTCTTGGAGACATGGTACAGCAGGACGGTGATGACGAAGGCGCATATCAGGAATACGCGATATCGACGGAGTCGGAACATTGTAGCGGCGGCGGTTTAGCGACGGATAACCGCAGAAGGTATGGGTATTTGCGGACAGGCGCGCGCGCACAAGCGTTCCGTTTAACTCGATGCCAGGATATATCTCGAAGTCGGGATGTATGTATGGGTGGAATAAAAGTATCCAAAAAAGAGCCAGCCAGCCAAGGGGGGGGCGGGGGGTTATTCAAAAAGCCAATATCTCCGAGTGGATGGCATGGCGGATGACCGACCCTATTCAATATTCAGGAGAGCTATCGCTGCCCCATGGGAAAGGTCAGTAAATGCCAGCTTCTCAGGTGACAAGTGAATAGGAAAGAGCAAGAGGGAAGGCCAGAACTCACTTAACCCAAGCCAAGATGTCCCGGAAAAATCATGGAAAAGAGAGCAATGGTCAGAAAGAGGAAGGCGGTTCATCAATCATTCAAGGGTTGTCTGGCCTGGTGGGTGGGAAAGCGCATGCGTGCCAAGCCGATGGCAAAGCTGCCCCCCTGTCGTCTTGAGGGGAGGGGGCCGTCTGCTTGGTGGTTGGATATTTCTTGGCATTGGATATGTCTTGCTCCAAACGGCAATCGGACACCTGTTGACTTCCTTGCGTCTTTCTGTTGTGAAGGATGAAGATGGGGGGGGGGGGATACAACACTACAGCCGCGCAAATCCTCTGCCGTTTTAACATAACAGATCTTTAGCGGCCAGTTAGGCTACCTCGAGGTTGGGATGAAGCTTTGACATTCCCGTCTCTACATAACTTGCTTGACTCGGCTGATTCAAGCTGGCCTGGCGTAGATGCAGTATGTCATTCAACCGGTGGCTTTGACGATAGCGGGAATCGATATTAACCCGGAGAATAAACAAATCAATTCACCCTCCTCAACACGTCCAGGTTCGTCAGCTTCGGCAATGCAAGGCCGGGAGTTGCCAAGTCACCTCGTCCCACTGATCTGATATTGCGGGGTAGTTCCCCGCCATCAAGTTAGCGTCCTGAACTCACGATGCTGACATGCAGCGTTTCTGCTTGAGAGATGGACGCTTTGTTTTGATTATGAGCCGGCTGACAAGACAATCATATTGTAAAGGCTCTCACCTAGATTAATACCATGTGGCTCAAGGGGCGAGCTCTTTGTGCAAGCCGAATCCGAGGCACAGGAACGAATCATACGGCGCTCAGATATCAGACCTTGAACACCGATAGAAACCTCACTCAAGGCAACAGAGATATCTGATGACAATAGATTGCACAACGAATCAACTCACTGGATCATTCGAGAACTGCCGTAAACCCTCAGTTGTTCAAGACGATGATCAGGGTCCAGCTCCTGCATCTAGAAACGGAACTGATCGTCCGCCCACCTCCACAACCAAACTCAAGAACAACCAAGGAAAGCTTGTGCCGACACAACCGGGCCGTTCTCAACATCACCCGCAAAAATATGCCATCACAAACAACCAGAGAATTAAATATCAAATCAGGGCTCCAAAAGCACTGCATCAAGTTGGGGGGTATCTAACACTCAAAAGAAACCTCGTTCAGAAACCTTTCCCTTAAAAAAACCATGGATCCCTCGTAGCGATGCCCGGAATCTACCATGTCCCCAAATTCGCCTATGAACATCTGCCCATGTTGTCCGAGACTTCCAGTCCCATCCTCCAATCCAACCTGGCGCCTACCTAGTCCATCCGTGCATTCCGCCTCCGGCTCTTCATCCTCCTCGTCTTCCTCCAGCAAACGCATCCACCAAGACCCTCATTCCACCAAACAAAAAACTCCCCTTTCTCGATCTCCATCTCACGCTTCAAGAGCCGGAAACGTCTCTTTTCCTCGGTCGAGATCCACATTCGCTTGCGCCAATCCTCGATCGGATTGCCACGCTTGGCAACTCTGACCTCGGGGGGTTCCCAAACCCCAGGAGTATAGGTATGAGGACTTTGCACCTGGGGCCTCTCTTGCTTAGGGATATCCTCCATGTCATCGTCCGAGTCACTCTCGGTGTCGCTTTCCACGCGTCTCCCTTCTCTGGTGACGAGTCCAGCGGTGGCTGTCTGAGTGGGAGGAGTGGCGGCCATTGTCTGATTGGGAGAGGGGTTCTAATCCATCTCCGGCTTGATCTCAGTGTCGGTCGACTTGTCCGGCTCACCCTCCTTCTGATCCTCCTTGATATCCTCCTCCTTGACATTCCCCTCGTCATCACCCCCAGCTTGACTCCCACCACCCTCCTTCAGCACACCACCCTTCCGCTTCGGGATCACCTCCAAAAAGGCCTGGCCCCAGTCACCACACTGCAGCCACTTCCCCATAATCTCCACCACCTGGTTCGTCGTCAAGACAAACCGGCTCTGCATGGCCATGAAATCCCCGATCGGCAACTTCGCATGGCGAACCTTGTGTTCTTGCGCTCTCTTGTAGCAAAGACCCTTCTCCCTGTTGCGATCGACCAACCCTCCAATGATGTACGCGGTCCCTGGTTCGAGTCTGTCGAGGGTATACGGCGAGTCGGAAGTGAGGTAGACAATGTTCTTGTGGACACTGTCCTCCTCGACATCCTCGGTCGACTTGTTATCAAACTTCTCATCGAGACTCATGTGAGGGACGTTGCCCGTCTCCTTCGAAGCGACATGATCGGGAAGGTTGTACGCGGTATAAGGCTGAATAAACTCGTCGATAGCTTGCTGGGCGCAGTCGACAAAGTTGTTTTCGGTAATGATCACATTCTTCCAGTTGAGGTGGGTGTTCTTGAGCTTTGTCTCAAATCTTTCCTTGAGCTTGCCCCCAAAACCGCTGAGTGACAGATGGGCTTGGTTTTTCTCCTTGCGGTTCATTGCGTACGATCTGGTGAGCTGGCTCGACAGGGAAATCAGTTCTCCTTCGCGCATGTATTGCTCGAAGTCGCAGTCGATGACAATGGAGATGGGGAGGAAGTTGGGTTCGAGAGGCTTCTTGGTGGGAATGAGGGCCATTGGGTCGAGTCCTTTCTCGACAGCTTTAGCCATCAACTCCTCCTTCTCTTCTCGACGCTGGGCTTGCTTCTCGTGGCGCTTATCTTTGCGCTTCTGCTTGCGCTGCTCGGCGTAGGCTTCATAGGCGGCTTGTTTGCGCAACTTCTTGAGCTCGCGCTTGGAGGGACCAGGCTTGACCTCTTCGGTGGAAGGGGTTTCGGTCGAAGCCGGAGTCTGCTCAGCTTGCTCGGCCGGGATCATGTTGGTATCGATGGCAGCCTCGGAGGGGTTGGCTGGCTGCTCGTCGTTGTTGACAGAGGGGGTGTTCTTCTTGATGGTTCTGTTATCGAGCTCGCTGACATCGGTGTCGGCCTTGCGCTTGCCATTGGCAGTCGAGAGGTTATTGGAGTCGCTGGTGGTGGCCAGAGAGTCGGTCATCTCGACGTCCGGTGCGACGGTTTGCGGATTGGTTACGGTAGCCATGTCGCTTGCTACGGGTAGTAGCTTGACGGGAGGTTTTGTAGCAAAGGGAAACGTAAAGATGGCAGGTGGAATTCCGAGAAAATAGGATGTGAGAACTGGAAAAGACGGTGCTTATATAGTGGTGGAAGGGTAAATTACAAGAGAAGTGAACAATGGCAAGTAATATTCACTTGGTCTGCAATTGTCAATTCACTTGAGCTGCTCCCGGAGGTGGGGTGGTGACCGGAGCTTTAATTTTTTAGCGCAGGACAGTGGCAGAATTACCCCACCACAAGCTGGGGTTACCGGGCGGTGAAGGCTTAGTTGGTTGGTTGGACAGCGCGCTGAGGCGCGTCTTCTTTAATTGAGTCGCGTCTCCCATGACCAGGGGTGGGCAAGTCACCTAAATTGACACTCCCGACATTTTGGTTCCCCATCCATCTCAACTTCGGGATGTCACCAAAGCCTGTACAACTTTGAGAGTGTACAGAACCAAATCACAGCCACAGCCAACATGTCTTCCAGACCAGAGCTCAAGGTAATACTGACCTTGTCTTCCTCAACTGCTGAACATATCTAACAAAGACACCAACAGGTCGATGATGAGCACGGCTTCATCCGATACTACAAGTCCCTTCCCAAGGTCGACGAGGACGTGATTCGCATATTCGATCGAGGTGACTGGTACACTGCACACGGAGAAGATGCCAATTTCATCGCGCGCACTGTCTACAAGACCACCTCGGTTGTCAGACAACTGGGCAAAAATGACCACACCGGCCTGCCATCAGTCACCATGACTGTCACCGTCTTCAGGCAGTTCCTTCGGGAAGCGTTATACAAGCTGGGAAAGAGAATCGAGATTTATGCCAGCCCCAACGGCCGCATGAACTGGAAGATTGTGAAGCAAGCCTCGCCAGGCAACCTGCAAGATGTCGAGGACGAACTTGGAGGGCAGTTCGAGGGAGCGCCAGTGATCTTGGCCGTCAAAATCACAGTCAAGGCATCAGAAGGCAGGACGGTTGGCGTGTGCTTTGCCGATGCCAGCGTAAGAGAGCTCGGTGTCAGCGAGTTTCTCGACAACGATCTGTACTCCAACTTTGAGTCTCTGGTCATTCAACTCGGCGTCAAGGAGTGCCTCATGCAGATTGACAAGGCAGAGAAAAACAAGGATCCAGAGCTGGCAAAGCTGAGACAAATCCTCGACAGCTGTGGCATTGCCGTTTCGGAGAGACCAGCAGGCGAGTTTGGCACCAAGGACATTGAACAGGATCTGGCAAGGCTGCTGAAGGACGAGCGGTCTGCGACGTTACTCCCACAGACCGACTTGAAACTTGCTATGGGCTCAGCAGCTGCTCTGATCAAGTATCTTGGTGTTTTACACGACCCTTCCAACTTTGGACATTATCAGCTCTACCAGCACGACCTTGCCCAGTTCATGAAGCTTGATGCCGCCGCGCTCAAAGCCCTCAACCTCATGCCCGGTGCCCGGGATGGTGCCAAGACCATGAGTCTGTATGGTCTCTTGAACCACTGCAAGACTCCTGTTGGTAGCAGGCTGTTGTCTCAATGGTTGAAGCAGCCCCTGATGGACAAGGCCGAGATTGAGAAGCGTCAGCAGCTTGTCGAGGTGTTTGTCAACGACACTGAGCTTCGACAGACTATGCAGGAGGAGCACCTCAGGTCTATTCCTGACTTGTACAGGCTATCCAAGCGCTTTCAGCGGAAGAAGGCAACCCTCGAAGATGTCGTCAGAGCTTACCAGGTCGTCATCCTCCTGCCCGGCTTCCTATGCACACTCGAGGGAGTGATGGACGAAGCTGCCCGTGACCCCCTCGATGAGGCTTACACCAACAAACTCCGCGAGCTCTCCAACAGTCTAGTCAAACTCCAAGAAATGGTCGAAACCACCGTCGACCTCGACGCCCTCGAAAACCACGAGTTCATCATCAAACCCGACTTCGACGACGGCCTCCGCATCATCCGCAAGCGCCTCGACAAGCTCCGCTCAGACATGGACAAGGAATTCTCCGAAGCAGCCAACGACCTCGACCAAGAGCGTGACAAGAAGATCTTTCTCGAGAACCACAAAGTCCACGGCTGGTGCATGCGCCTAACCCGGACAGAAGCAAGCTGCATCCGCAACAAGTCCCGCTATCAAGAATGCTCAACCCAGAAGAATGGAGTCTACTTCACCACCAAAACCCTCCAAGCCTACCGCCGGGAATTCGACCAGCTCTCCCAAAACTACAACAGAACCCAATCCGGCCTCGTCAACGAAGTTGTCGGCGTAGCAGCCTCGTACTGCCCCGTTCTCGAAAAGCTAGGCGGCGTCCTCGCCCATCTAGACGTGATCGTCTCCCTCGCCCACTGCGCAGAGAACGCCCCCGTCTCCTACGCCCGTCCCAAAATCCACCCACGAGGTCAAGGACAAACAATCCTCACCGGAGCCCGCCACCCCTGCATGGAAATGCAAGACGACGTCACCTTCATCACCAACGACGTCTCCCTCACCCGCGACAGTTCTTCCTTCCTGATCATCACAGGCCCAAACATGGGCGGCAAGTCAACCTACATCCGCCAGATAGGCGTCATAGCCCTCATGGCACAAATCGGCTCCTTCGTCCCCTGCGAGTCGGCCGAGCTGACCATCTTTGACTCGATCCTCGCCCGCGTGGGGGCAAGCGACTCGCAACTAAAGGGGGTATCAACCTTTATGGCCGAAATGCTCGAAACAGCCAACATTCTCAAGTCAGCCACCTCCGAATCCCTGATTATCATCGACGAGCTAGGCCGCGGAACGTCGACCTACGACGGGTTCGGTCTCGCGTGGGCGATTTCGGAGCACATAATCCAACAGATCGGGTGTTTTGCCCTGTTTGCGACTCATTTTCATGAGCTGACCGCCCTCGCGGAAAAGTACCCGCAGGTTCAGAACCTGCATGTTACGGCGCATATTACGAGCGACAGGGACGTGAAGAGGGAGGTGACGCTGCTGTATAAACTCGCTCCGGGGATCTGCGACCAGAGCTTTGGGATTCATGTCGCCGAGCTGGTGAGGTTTCCGGACAAGGTTGTCAGGATGGCGAAGCGGAAGGCGGACGAGCTGGAGGATTTTACGAGTAAGCACGAGGCGGGGAGTGTCAAGTATGGGAAGGGGGATGTGGAGGAGGGGAGCGCGTTGTTGAAGGATGTGCTGGTGAAGTGGAAGGATCAGGTCAAGGGGGGGGGGATGACGAAGCAAGAAATGGTGGAGAGGTTGAGGGAGCTTGTCAGGAATGATGAGAGGTTGGAGGGGAATCCGTTTTTTCAGAGTGTGAAGGCTTTGTAGGGGGATGATGGGTTCGAGGGAAGGGTTTCAGTGCGGACATCATAAGATTTTGTAATGCGTTTGCTTTCGGACACTGGCTGGGTTGGTCAAGGGTAGGGGAAGGGTTATGGGAGTAATGATTTACATTTTGAGCAATGGCAAAGAGGTTGTGTGTTTACATTTTGCCATGAGCAAAAGGCGGGGCAAGACTCAGCTCATATGTTGCGAAAGACAACTTGACATAATACAAACCTTTTGCCATCCAATACCATGTCATCACAGAGGCATTTTCCATGCCACTGCACTGACCGTCGAGATACATCAGCAACCACAACTCTCAAACCACTATATCAAAAATCCTCCATGGAGGATTTCCATGTCAGATCACCGGAGGAACAGTATCAAAACAACGCTGCTCATATTTCTCACCGCGTCTTCGTCTAATTCTCCCCATCCCCCCTGCCCCCTTCCAATCTCTCGCTGCCTCCCCTCCCACCCTTCCCCAATATGGTAGTGTAAGTTGTAAAGGTACAAGAAACATCAAAAAGAGAGACCAGAGACTGGAGCGAGAAAACGAGGTTAAAAAAAACTACAGTAAACGTCCCCGACACACGCACCCACCCCCCAAATTACATCCCCTCAAACTCCCCCCCCAAATCATCCTCGTCCAGATCCCCCTCCTGAATCTCCTTCGCCATCTCCCTCTCCCTCTCCCTCGCCTCCTGAGCGTTCTTGAGTTCAAGACGGTGCTGGTTCATAGGGAACCTCATAGCCTATCATCATCATCATCATCATCATGTCAGCAACCTCATCCCACCCATCTCACAATCAGTCGGCGCAGACGTACCTTGACACTCTCATCATGCAAACTCAAACAAGCCCTGATCCGATCGTGAAACGTCTCCCCCGGCTCGCTCGTGGCGTAAACATCCCCCACCTCCTTGCTTTTCATGTACCCCTTCTCCCTATCCAGCGTCGCCTCGATAACCCCATCCCGGATCGCCTTGGCCACGATATACTCGGCGCTCTCCTCGCTGCCAAGATGCAGCCGGATGCAGATATCCCGAAGCGAAATCCGGCTGTAGCTCAAGCTCATCATCCGGATCCCCGTCTTGATGACGTTCTGGCGCAGGCGCAAGATAAGAGTATACGTCCCATCCCGGCGGAAGGTGTCCCCGTGCTGAGCAACAACGCTCTCAAAGTCCTCCAAATCACCCACCCGGACAGCCCGGACGAGCAAAAAGTAAGGGTGGAGCGAAGCCTCCATGGCAGGCTGTCGAAAGGTCGCGCGGTCCGGGATGTCGCCCATCAACAGCTCAACCACAAGCAACAGCTTGGTGGCAGTCTGGCCGAACCCAAGAGCACACGCGCTAGAAGGCGCCTTGCGTGTGGCGGCGGTCAAGTGGTTGTGAGCCTCAGTATAAAGCAGCTGAATGGCCCGCACCTTGCCGAGATAGTACAAGTACCTCGCAACCTGGTTATTCGCCGCATTCTCGGGAAACTGCGTGTGCGAAACCAACAAATCCGCCTGGGAAATGTGCGACGTCAACAGGTAGCTCCGGAGCAGCAGCACAATAACCGAAGCCTGCGTGTCCGTATCCTTGCGCAGAACCGCCGTCCTCAGCGCAGCAAGCAGCGTCGGCCGAATCGCCACAATCGTCGACTGCGACGACGGCGGCAAGGGCGCAAGCTGCTCGGCAAACAGCTCAAAGTAAAAGTACACCTTGGCCGAAAGCCCATCGAGCGTACGACGGTTGAGCTCCTGGATCTTCTCAATCAGGTACCTCGAAAACTCCAGCCCCTGCTGCCACTGCTTGCCGTCATGCAGCAACACCTGCGTGAGAATGCCCAAAAAGACACCAATCTCGGGAATAACCTCCTTCTGCTCCTTCTTCACCCCATTCTTCCCAGAACCAGCCTTGGTCGTCGGCTCACTGTCAATCTCCATCTCCCCCCCCCCTCCTCCCACCTTCCCACCCAGCTGCACCTCCTCCCGTCCAATCGCCTTCAACAAACCAACCGCAATCTCGGCCCCAGACGAACTCGCCATGTACGTCTCAGCAACAACCCTCGCCAAAACATCCCCCGTCAGCCGTTTCCGAATCGACGACACCGACCGCAGCGCACGAAGGGTGAATCGAGCATCAAAAAGCGCGACGGCACGGTCCAAGAGGGCAAAGTTGCTCTTGATGTCTGTTTTCCTCGTTAATCACCACCACCACATCACCACACGGGATGAAACCTACCAGCAACAGTCTTCTCAACCGGATCCTCCCCCTCCCCCTCATTCTCAACCCCCTCCATAACCACCACATCCCCCTCCACATCCTCCTTCTTCTTGCTCGGCGGCACAACAACCGTCATCTTCTCATCCTCTCCCTTCTTTCCCTTGCCCTTCATTTTGTTGTTGTTGTTGTTGTTCCCTCCTCTGGCAGGTTCCCTGTCGGGTGTCTTTCCAGGCATATTTTGTCGTTCGTCGTTTGTTAACTGAAACACCCGCCCGCCGGTTGAGTTCGGTTTTGATCGTCACGCTTGTCTGTAGTGTCGTTGTTGATGTCAGCCAAATCGAACCTGGGCAGTAGATAGATAGGTAGCTCGTGTTGGGAGGAAAGTGGCACGCACGCACACGTACTCGGTCGACTGCTCTTCGTCGAAAATAAATAACTCGTGGAGAAAACTTCAAGGTCAATAATTTCTTGAAGAAGAAAGAAAGAAAAAAGAAAAAGTCGTCAAACGTCGATGCAAGAAAGCTTTGCCTTGCCTTGCCCCCCAAAGATGGATTGATTGATTGTGATGAGCGAACAGTCCACACAAAGCAAGCAGTAGCCGAACGAACAGCGCGGCAGCACGGACCAACAGGCAGGCAAGGCAGCGGTTCCAAGTACGCAGCCCTGGCCATCGGTACCTGAGGTTTTGCCCGCAACTGGCAGGCGTGCGGAGGTATCTCATTGGGCGCCCGGTACTTGCCATTGCAGCTGGAAGCTCCCCGACCCACTTTCGGGCAGAGGCTGAACCACTGGGATCAGCTCTTGTGACGTTGTCGATTTGCTGCCTGCTGCCCCACCTTTTCCCTAATTGGGTCTTACAGCAACTTGACGTCGTCTTCTCCTGTTTTGTCTCGAGATGATGAGACATTGGATATCACATATGTAGAAACACCCCCTCAGAGATGACAGCAAAAGCGATTGATTAACAGCCCGACCTCAGACAAGGCTACGCTGCTAACCTACATGACTAAGCATGATGACTGGTTTCCTTTTCATGTAACCCCCCCCCCCCCCCCCCCCCCTTATTCCCTCCAAAATCCCAAGGTATCAGTAATTCCCCCCATCCCATTCCATGCCTTGCCATGACGCCCGAGACGAAAGAAAGAATAAAAATAAAAAATCCCGCCTTACAAAACCCATACCAACACATAAAAAAAGCGACTGTGCGCCGTCTAATTACTTTTGCTCAAGCCAAGCATGAAAACCCCTCTGTAAAAAGAAAGAACGAAAAAAAGAGAGAATCTAAAGATCCCCCTTGCCAGGCACAACTTTGGCCGCCTGAACAGCACTCATCTTCTTGATCCAGGAGCTGTTGGGCTGCATCTTCCTGACGGTCCTAAGCTCCTCGGAAGAATAGCCTGGGATGCGGATATTGTACGTTCGTTCCAGGACAAGCTGCAAGTCGCGGATCTCGAGCACCTTAGACCCGCGCTCCTTGGCGTTGCGGCAAGCCTGATGGAGGACATTGTCGATGAAGGCATCGGCGAGGTTCAGTACCGACTATGGTAAAAAGTTAGCAACTGTGAAAGAAAAGAGATAAAATGAATGAATCGCTGACCTCTTCAACATCCGGAGTCAACATGTTGCCATCTTGACCCTCGGCAGTCCCACCGCAAACCTGGCGAACCAACTCGTCGAGCTTCTTCTTGTTAAGGATGCGCTCGCCCTCGCCTTCGATCTGGTAGGCTGGCGTCTTGGGGAGGACGGGCTGGTTCAAAACACCGCCGGCAGTGCCGCCGCCACCGCTGAGCGTGGGACGACCGCTGCCAATGCCGCCAATGTGCGGTACCGGTTGAGGAGCCTTGATGGCCTTCTCATCCAAAGTCTTGGGGATGGCGAACTTGGTGTTCATGGCGGAGGCTTGGGTCTGAATCTGTTGTTGCGATGGGTGCGCGTGAGAATGACCTTGCGGGCCTGTTGCGATGGAAGCCGACGGAAGTGGAGCGCTGCCCGGTGTCGTGTTGGGCGGGGGTCCAGCAATGGATCCGGGGCGGGACTGCGAGGCCGAGTTGACAGCGGCAGCGTTGACAGCCGCGGCGTGAGTAAGTGGTTGGATATTGCTGATGGTGGGAGTCGCTGACTGGGGAGTCTGGATGCGGACCGAGTTTTGGGTAGGAGCTCCGGCCGAAGGTATGCCGCCGCGCGCAGCAGCGAGTGCAGTGTTGAGAGGCGCAGGCACCGGAGTGGGTTGGGTGCCAGGCTCAACCTTAATGGCCTGGGTCGGAGGCTGTGAATGCGACTGTGACTGCGACTGTGGGAGAGGCACTTGGTTGGACGGCGCTTGTGAGATGGGAGTGGTTTGCGACTGCACCGGAGTGGCCGGGGTCTGGGATGGAGTCTGATGCGGGTGCTGCTGTGGTTGCGACGGTGCCTGCTGCTGCTGCTGCTGCTGTTGCTGTGGGGGCTGGCTGTTGTTCACTGCTCCAGGTCCCGCCATGCGACCCGCAGCCAGCTGCTGCTTTTTGGCAGCTTCAAACGCTGCACTGACGGCTGCCGTGGCTGGCTGCATTGCTCCTCCCGGCACACCAGTCACCCCCGCTCCACCAACACCTGCTCCAGCCTGGCCTGCTGCCGCTGCTGCATCACCACCACTACCACCGCCAGCTCCCGGAGTGCCGTTGGGAGTGCTGCCTGGTTTGTTGGTAACGAACTGTTTCCTGATACTATTCGCCAGATTGAGCCCCTCGTTGTGCATCTTCTCAAAGATCTCCCTCTTCTTCTTGATCTGCTCTGCATCGTTCGGTGACAGCCCAGGTTTCATCAGTGCATCAAGTTGCCTCATGCTGTTCCTGCTGGTTTCCGACTGGATGAGAGCCCGGGCGTACTGGTTCTTGACCGTCTCCAGCCACTTTGCTTTGTCAGTCGTGTTGGCCGGCGGGGTGAAGATGAGTTCAGCTATGTGTGAAGCGATATAAGGCGGCATCGGGCGAGGTTGCCCCTGAAGAGCTCGATTTGCGCCCCCAGCCACCTGTCCAGCCTGGCCTCCTGTCTGCGCTTGACCCTGAGCCTGAACCCCTCCTGGCATTCCGCCAGCGCCCTGAACACCCGGTCCGGCATTGCCCTGGTTGGCCTGGGCTTGTCCGTTGTGTTGCTGAAGCTGTTGCTGCGCCTGCTGCTGGAGCTGAAGCTGCTGTTGGAGCTGAAGCTGCTGCTGTTGAGCCTGTTGGGCGGCCTGGGCTTGTTGAGCAGCGCGTTGCTGCATTTGCTGCTGCTGAACTTGAACCTGTGTGGCCTGGTTAACTTGGTTCGCTTGTGCTGCCTGCTGAGCATGCTGTCGACGGCTAGTGACCTTGGAGGCTAGCATGCGACCGAAGTCGGCGATCTTGTTTTTCGCAGTCATCTGCTCCTGGGAACCCGGGGGGGAGTTGTCGTGCATTTTCCAGAGCGCAGCCAGACCCTGGGTATATTTAGACTTCTCTTCGGCCGTCAGGATGTGGATTTGCTGCATCTGTTCTGGCCGGTATAGTGGAACATTGTTCGGGGGAGGAACACCGGTCGGCCGGTTCGGGACGCCACCAGGACCTTGAATTCCCTGACCATTCGTCTGACCAGCCATCCCCTGGCCGGGCGCTTGGTTCATCTTGTCCGCTTTGTTCGGAATGACAGAGGGATTGTTCAGGTCGCTACTCTGGAGCCTGTACCGGGTCGCAGCGGCTTCGAGACCTTGTATCGAGCGAGTGTCTAAAGTAGGGTCAATTAGCTGCTGATATGGAAGCAGAAGTGTATGCCTCTGTGATAGAGAAAAAAAAAAGCGAAGCGTCTCCAAAGACAGAAGATTTCTCGACGGGCTTGTTGACAGCCCTCGATTTGATGACGAGGGGAGATGGAGTTGAGGAAGATGAAGTCGAACAACCTGGAAGGGTGACGCGAGGCGTGTCGTTGAGGTCGTGTCGGAACTTACCGTGATATGGTAGGGGGACACTGGTCCGTGCGGTTTGCCATATATCAGAGCCTACTGCCAGCACTTTGCCGTGAACTCTTGCAAATATTTTGCCAACTTGCTGCTTGATCAAATTTGCAAAGAAAAAAAAATATCTTAGCATTGATTTTGGATAGTCTAGCCCTACGAAAAGGCGGAGTTTTCGAGACCCGCGCCGGCGCCGGCGCTCTTGTCTTCTGAGACATCAGGGGAAACAGGGAGCTCACAAGTCCTAAACAACAGAACAAAGCATTGAGCAGAAAAGAAGTGGCGGAATCTTTTGAGCGAGTAAAGGCATTGCTCTTCATAAAATCTCAGTCAAATCTTTTTCTCAAGTCCACGAACAATTCTTCTTGCCTGTAGCTGTTTTGCCAGTGTCTGTTTGGGAATATAGCACTCAGGCTTGTCGAGTGCCTCACCGAATTGTGAATAAAAAAAGGGGCACCAGATCATTACACATTAGACGCTGAAACAATTCTTCAAGCTGTCTGATGACAATCCAGGGACCGTGACAGTCTTTTGAAGCCTCTTGGGCATAGTCTCTGAGTTGGAGTCTCCATTCTTGTCCACAATGTGCTCAGCTGCACACCTACTGAAACTAATAATTACGAGCTTCAGGGCCTGCATCAGCACATCTATCACAACACAACTATATCTTGATAGAGAAGGCGTCATTTCCCTTCAGCAAATCCACGATATTCAAACACTCCAATGATCAAGTTAGAGAGGATCAAGCAGCGGGATCCAGACACTCCATCAGGTATTCATCGTAAATCAAGCAAAGCAGTCATCATCACAATGTTCAAATCTCTTACCCCAACAAAAAGTAAATTTCCCGGGCAATGCTTCCACAATTCATATTCCAATCATCAACTCATAATCATAATCATCAACATCGTCATCGTCATCATCATCATCATCATCATTAAATCTCTTCCCCCCTCTCCCCGCCCTCATTAAATTACTTCCCACCCTAGGGCGAATCCACCTCCATGCTAACATACTCATAATAAGGCAACTCCCTCGCCAACTTCTCCCCCACCCCTCCCACCTCCAAAAAGACCCCATCATCCGACTCGGGCTCATCCAACTCCTCAATCCTCGACGTCCTCGCCTCATGCTGAAAAATCGAACTCCTCCTTCTCATGTGATGATCCACCATGCTAACCCGTCTCCTCATCCTCCTCCCCCCCGTCTGGTCCTCCGACGAATTTGGCCCCAGCCAAGGCTTCAAATCCTCCAAATCAGTATCACTCCCGATGCTCTCACTGATGGTCCTCTTCCCTATGCTCCCGCTCGTCATCCTCCTCTTCTTCTTCTCCTCCCTCCTCTTGATCAAAAACTCGCGATACTCGGCCTCGTCGAGGTCCGTCTCGTCAGACTCATCGTCGCAATTGAGGTTGTGGAGGCTGAAAATAAACGTCCTGTCTATTACCGCCGGCCGTCTCGTCCTTGAGCGGGAGCGGCTGCGGTTGGACTCGGCGTATTCAATGTAATCCGGCCGGAGAACCCCATCTCTCTCGTCGTCGCTGTCGGCAAAGTCGGAGAGCTCCTCAATGACGAAATTGGAGTCCGTCTCGGCGATGACACGGCCGATTGTGATGGAGGTGGACCGGCCTATCCTGGCCGATATGTGTGGAATCTGGGGTAGAAGTGGGGATGGTTCTAGTTGTGGTTGTTCAGGGGTCGCGGACCGGGATGGCCCGGCGGGTTGGGAATCGTTGTCGGATTCGTCTTCCGACGACGAGGAAGAGGAACAGCTGGTGGTTCGTGGTGATAATTGATCTGGCCGACCGCCGTTGAACGCCATCGGAACTCCTCCGGTCGACAAGGGGGGGGGCGCCATGGGCCGGAGGTGATTATGGTGGTGGTGGTGGTGGTGACGGGAGTGTGGAAGCGGCGGCGGCGTGGGCGCAGACACCCCGGAGGGCGGGGGGCTGCTTTTGCGGCCAAAAACCGGGGAAGCCGTTCGCGGGGTCTCTGGCGGAGAGGTAGGCCCGACGTTTTGAGAGATTTTCCCGTTGGGCCACATGGTAGGTCTAATAAGTATGGCGATGCAAGATTTGTTTTTTTTTTTGGACTTGCTGCAAAAACCGGTGACGGAATTTCTATGCCCTCCGTTTCGGATGGGTAAAACAAAAGATGCTTGCTGCTGGGGTAGGTACTGTCACAGCGGTGTGTGTCGAGTGGTGCCAGTCTCGTCTGGGGAAACGTCTTATCGATTGCCCGCTCTCGTGGGAGAGAGTGTGGGGGTTACCGAGCAAAAGAAAAAAAGATGGCGGGGAAAAGATGGAATGGCGCGCGCGCAGGACTGTGCTGTGCTGTGCTGTGCTGTGCTGTGCTGTGATGCGATGCAAGTAATGCTGGCGGGCGGGCGGAGTGGCGTGAGTAGGTAGATGTACGGTACGGGAACGGGGGGTTTTCAAGGTGTCAAGACCCAAAGAATGAATCTCCAACGAGGAGAAGATATCGGACTTCGGTTGGTTGTCATGATAATATCGATCCAGAGTCTAGGTGCGGTTCCGTGCAGCCCAGGCTGATTCCCGATATTGGGGAACGTGTCTGAGCAGGATCGAAAGCAAGCAATCGGGAATTGCGGGGTGCTCGATAAAAAAGGACTGGTTGATTTGCGCCGTTGCGCTACGCTGGTGGTGCCGACGAAGGAGCTGACTGATGAGGGACTGACTTTGTCTGACGGGTAAGCCAGTGTGTGGAAGCCGGCAGCTCGGAGGGGCGAGGTTGTGTGTCCGGTGTGTGTCGTAGAATAAATGAATTGTCCGTCCGAGCAACAGAGGACAAAAACAAAGCAGCTGACAACTCTTATCGGATCCGGAGATGGCTTTTTATCACAGGGCTACTACATATATACTCGGAGTGGTGGGTTGGGCTCCGGACCGAAGAGCCATCCTATACAATTTGGCAAATATTTCTCCTGTGCCTGGCTGCCATGGGTTGCAGCAGGGGTTTCAAGCCCCCTACTACTAATAACGAAGAAGAGCCGCCAACAGCCGGTTCTTGTCTTGATGGCGGCGCCTTTGGGCAGCAATGCTCCGTCTAATCCCTGAACATTTCCCTCAGACGAAATGTTACAGGCGGGACGCAAGCAATCGACATGACAACAAACCGGCCGTCGGTCAGAGAGCCGGATGTCTGAGTCCTCGGCTCCGTTAGGGGGCGAAGACGGTGTCTTGATGGTTGAGTTGTCACTGTCCCATCGTGTCATCACCACTGCGCAAACGAGCATGGAAGCCCTCGTGCAGCATTCTCCCGCTGTGTCCGTCCACAAGGCTTGATGTCCGGGCAGGCACCTTTCACAGGGACTGGCAACGAATCAGGGTGTAGAGGCCCACCAAGGTGGACATCAAAAATAGACTTGTTGTCCAATAAAGAAGGCAGAAAAATTATTCTGCCGGCTGCAGGATGCGTGTCTGCTGCTGTGTACGTGGGTGGCAGGAGAGGGAAAAAATGCTTGGATGAGCAGATCCCGTTGCCATCTTCGCCGATGCGCATTCATATGCTCACAGGCGCCGGGAGAACTTGGGCTCTGTCATTCCGCAGCTGAGCCAGATATTGAGGTGTTGTGCTGTGAGAATCCAGAGCTCTTCAAGAGCACCGTGGAGGTTCCAAAAAGGCTGTGGAGCGTGGCATATCCCAGTGCCGGTTGGGCGTCTCCGTTCCGGCACATGCAGGTCGTGAACAGGGGATCCTTCCATAGCCCTTCACGAGAGCGGGCCGTAGACATCGCCGGTGGAGTGTTGACAATGTGCTCATCTGTGAGAGGTATGGCATTCGGCCGTTTGAAAAAACGGTGTGTAAGGAATACACGAATACATGATCTCGCAGGAGCTCTTACCGACGAGCCGCGAGAGGTCCAAAGCTGCTTGTTGAGCGTCAGGTCCGGGTTATCGTAGCTCAGTTGCCATCCATGTGACGGAACCGCTACCGAACAGGCCGAGACAACTGCGTCATTTGCGACAGGCTGTGGTTAGTAACTCTCAAGCCGGGCACCTTGGATTTACTCAACGTGAGGGTCGTGTCGACTTCGAAAATAACTAAATAATTTGTAAGAAATGATAACGAGGGGCGCTTCAAGAATTGGTGCCTGTGCCTGTGCCTGTCAATCATTCCCGTCACGTGACAGCGGGGTGATTTATCGCGGGGTTTATCGATCTGCCAAGAGATCGGATAACCACCAAGCCCAGCCCAAGCTCTCAATTGTAGATCGCATCTTTGTCTCCCATTCACACCAAAACCCGACGCGACATCTTGCCTCCCAGACGCAACATCTTCTTCTCGTCCTACAAGCCCACAACATAATCATAATGTCCTTGATATCAACCCACCTCGCCCAAATCGCCCTCTCCTGCGAAAGCATAGACAACCTCCCGTACGTCCCCCCCCTCTCCCAAAGTAAACAAAGCTGGAAAACCCCCCCCCCTTCCCCCTTTCTCTAACCGCCCTCCAGTTTCCCCCCACCGAAAATCTTCACCAACGCCCTCCTTTCCAACCCAGACATCACCTCCCTCATCCGCGACACCGAAGCCCACGAACGCGCCCTCTTCTCCGTCCCCGCACCCCCACCACCACCAACCACCACTCCCCATCCCGAGCAACCTAAACCCTCCAACCGCAGGCAAACAGTGTTCAACGTCGCCGCCGGAGAAGTCACCACCGGACCAGCACCCAACTCCTCCACCCGCCGATCCACCGCCGTCGCCGCCGTTTTGGGCGGTGATCTCCACGCGCATCTGACCCGTAGACACAAGGAAGGCGAGGCCGACATTGAACTACTACTACAAGGTGCCGAGAAGCTTTGTGGTGTCTATGCCTTACCGGGCGCGCTGGAGAGGATACCGCAACTAAGAAGAAAGTGGGAGATGCAAGGGCATACGCTCGCATATTACGAGCAAAAGGTCGCCGAGCAACAAGAGCAATTGCAGGCCATGAATCAACGAAACGAATGGGATGAGGACGAGGAAATGGAGCATGTGGAGGAAAAGGGGGATTACATCACAGAGGAGGATTTGCGGCGGGATGAGGAGGAGCTGAGGAAATTGGAGAGGAAGAGGCGGGAGCTGCAGGCCAAGTTGAAGAGCTTGGAAGGTGATATTGGGGGGTTGATGGATATTTGAGCAATGATTGCGCTTTATTCTCATGCGAACAAGGGACTCTTAGGTTGACAAGAGAGGTTCTATGCGGGATGATCGGCAGGGGTACGTTCAAACTAGCAGCTTACTCCTTCGGAAGAAGCGCTGACAGCAGGAGCAGAAGCCTTTATCCTCTTCAGAACCTCCACCAACTTCTCGGGATCTTGGGCGCCTTCCACTCTGTACTTTCCATTGATGGTGAAATTCGGCACTCCGGACACTCCATCCCGGTACGCCTCCTCAACCTCCTTGTCGACTTCGGGTCCGCCCCTGCCCTCATCGAGCCAGGATTCGACCTCAGCCTTGTCCAGCCCTCCCTTCTCGCCGGCGGCGATCAGAACGTCATGGGAAGTGATGTCTCCATCTTCCTCGAAATGCAGCTTGAAAAGCGCAGAGATAACACTGTTTTCGAGCTCGTTCGACTTTGTCTTTGCCAGCTGAACCAGCCGGTGGGCGTCACGGGTGTTTCCGATCCTGGCCTTGAACGAGAAGTTGATGCCCTCGGCTTCGCCGAAGCGCTTGAGCATCATGGTGGACATGGCCAGGCGGTTGGGATCGCCGAATTTCTTGAGGAGGTGCTCATCGCGGTCAACCGAGGTTTTGGGGAGGGAAGGGTCGAGGTAGAAGGGGTGCCAATGGATTTTGAAAGTGTCGGAGCTGGCGTTGGGAACGGAGGCTTTGTAGAGGTTGATGGCGCGTTCGAGGCGCTTTTTGCCTAGATAACACTGGGTTGAGGAGGGGGGGGGAAAGGGTTAGAGGCGCTTGCATGGAGACCATGTTGGTGATTGTGGAGGTGGTGGTCGTGGCATTTGTGTAGGGCTGAAAGACGTACCCATGGGCATATGGCGTCGGAGACGATTTTGATGTCGAAGGCTGTCATTTTGTTGGAGGTGAGTGGACAGTCACAGGTGTTTTGTAAAAAATGAAGGTATCAAATTTGGGAATGAGGTTTATGTGAGGAAAAGTGATGATGCCATCGCTGTCTTAAATTTGGAGGTTATCACCCCCTCACCTAATGGCTGACAAATCCGGATGCGGGCGGCATTTCAGTGAAGGAAGTCTCGACTGGCTGTTCTTTAAGTTGAATGGATATCTTTCTCAAAAATGAAGCTGACCATGACCACGATATCCTCAATCAAGGCAACGACAACAAAGTTGACGGACGACAGCAAGTGTTGACGTCGGAGACGGAGTCTCGGTGCTCAGCCCGTTCCATGTTCCAATCCAGTTGGAGGGGCTGGAGAAGAAGCGGGCTCCATAGTAAGCGCGTTGCCCGTCGCGATTCCTTAACAAGAAAGTGTTAAGATTCAAGGGGAAGGAAGAAGGGAAGCAAGCGTTGGTCTTTTTGAAGGGGGTGACGCAGCTCTCTTCTGGGTTCTGTCAAAACAGAGAGGTTGGGGAAGCAAGCCCTCAACTGTGAAAAAGCAGCCAACAATGCGTCACCAGGTGGGACATCTTCCCACTTTACGCGGCGCATAACCCCTGTCTCTAGGCCTTTGCCAAGAGCCGCAAAGCCAGCTCAGCGCCCGCACCGCAACACCACCCATGTCTAGCTTTTTGCCCGGACAACGGATCCAATGTAAATAAAGTGCGGTGGTTGGGCAACAGGGGACGGGGCCAGACACACCAGCGACTGGTGAGAGCAGCAGTTGGAGCAGACAGACAAGAAAGCGAGAAAGAAGAGAGAGCGAGAGAAAATACAGATGGCTAACAACAACATCGTCGTCTCTTGATTTTTGGCCTTGTTCCATCTTTTTTTTTTCTTCCCCGGATATCATCCGCTCTTAAACTTGTCCCGTCTCAGAATATACCCTCACTAGTTAGCTGCCCATACCAGCCACCGACATTTCTGCGATTTTGCGCAAAGCAACATCCCATCCCATCCCACCCCCCCCCCCAATCCCCACCTTGTAAGTTGCGTTTTCCAGCCTCCATTCTTGTCTTGTTGGTGAAAGCACACACCACACCCACAGCTTTGGGACCTGCAGAATTCCTGACGGTTTTCCCGCCCTTGCATTCTCCTCTCTCAGTCTGTTGCTCTAACAACTCGATCTCTTTTTTTGCTTCCCACAGTATCACAGACAGACAGACAGACATACACGCCAGTGCAAGTCGTGCAGATTTTCAAGGGTCTGCCCCGTACATACTACTGGAGTAGTAGTCCCGTCGTCCCACTTCATTACTCAATTATACTGCAGGTGGTGTAGTCTACCTGTTTGTTTGTTGTGTGTGTTGTGTGAGAAGAGAGAGAGTACCTTGCGGGTCACACTACGAACGAGTGGCATTCCTAGCGAACTACATCGTCGACGACGATCTATCCGAGACCTACCAAAAAACAATAGGCGCCACTTACATTCCAACTCCGACAAAAACCAGACTACACTCCTCCTCCTCCTCCACCTCCTCCTCCAACCGTCACTCCGGGCGTGTGTTCCTACCGTCGGAGGGCGGGTGTGTGTGGGTTTTATTCTTTGTGAGTGAAAGGGAAGTGTGTGTTGGACGTATAAAAAAACATGGCGACAAGAGTACAATTAGGATGGTACCGTAAGTCTTTTAACCTCAACCAACTGGGCGCATGACCTACCTTTTGCGCTCTCACGGAGAGGAATGCCTCGCTGACTTCTCTCCCTCAAACCACCAGGATGGGTACCATTCCTCGGCTACCATCACGTGCTGATGATCCTCATCGCCGTGACGATAATCCTGCTCTCCCTCCTCCTAGCAGGCTGCTCCTCCTCCTCCCCCCTCATCCCCGACATCTTCCTCCTCTCCATCTACTACGAAAAATACACGGCCGTCCCCGACACGGCCCAGGTCGACTACCGCGTCTCGGAGGCGATCTCCAACATTGTCGGCGACGCCAGCCTCCAGGCCAGGGTCGGCTACTTTGGCATCTGCATCTCGACCGACGGCGGGAGCTGGCTGTGCTCCAACAATGCGACCTCGCTGGCGAACGAGATCTCGGTGGAGCAGGACCCGCTGAACCTGATTTGGCTGTCGGCGCAGTTTAAGGATATGATTGTTTTTCCCTATCTCTTGTAAGTTTCTTCTCTTTCTCTCTCTCTTTCTTTCCCTGTTTTGTTTGTGTGTGCTGACGGATTGGGGGTAGGATCATCGCCATCATCTTCGCCTTCATCTGCCTCCTCTTGCTGGCTACCTTTCCCGGCTGGCACGAGGAGGAAGATTCCGAGGGTTCAGAAAGAGAAGTCAAGCCTTTTCCCTCGAGACCGGTCAGCCAAGTCGCGCTGGCGATTATCTTCATTGCGTCGATTTTTGTGCTGGTTAGTGTGCTGTGGCAGCACACCGCGTCTGTGGCGGCGAGTATTATCGCGCAGGATTTCGGGAACGGGTCGGTGCTGGCGGGGGTTGGGTCGAGTGCCATGGTGATGGGGTGGTTTAGTTTTACGTTGTTGATTATTGTTACGATTGGGTTGTTGGTCATGATATTGAGCATGGCGGGTTCTGTCGGATATTATGGCTTGAGGGGAAGGGGGTTATGAATTTATGTTGGGAGGGGATGGGGATAAGGGGGAGGAGGATTAAGTACATATTTTTACGACAAACGGCGACGACGACAACCTCCGACGGCAAATGATACCCACCACCACCACCACCACCACTACCACATACCTAACTATGATTTCTGAATCTTGGGATGAGGATTTTGGGAAAGGGAAGGGAAGGAAAATGTCGTGGGGATATTTGTTCACTTGTTCATGTTTGGAAGCTCTTTTGTCTGGCTTTTATTTCTATCATGATTTATCTGTCTTTCTCAGCTTGCACATTTTACGGCATGGGTGGGGGGGTGGGGGTTGGCAACTCAGCAGCACAATATTCCTCTCTCTCTCTCTCTCTCCAACAACAACAACAACAACAACAACAACAACAACAATAAACATGAATGTAATGATGGATGGAATATGGAGAAGGAAGGGAGGAGGGAGGGGTATTTATACGAAAGGGAAAGAAAGCAATCATCACGATTACTTGGGATGGGACTGGATATGGGCGGCTTTTTATACCTTGCTGTTTTTTTGTGTATTGGGGCCGGGGAAGCAAGCGTGCGAGTTTAGGGGGTAAAGCAAGCGTGCAATGATTGCAAAGTTATGTCTCTGTGAGAGAGAGACGATGGCTGGTCGTGGGAAACTTATACTAGGTAGCGTTTATACAGGAGTTAAAGAGGAGTCGATATGGGCTTGGGCAAAGAATTGATTTACTGTTTTAGTTGCTTGATGCTGGAAATGGAATATGTGATGTCCTTTGCTTGATTGACTTCATAAATGTTTGTTTGGGCAGTGCAACGTTGAAAATTATACGCAACTCAAGTCTCACGTGGAAAGCGCTTGGTTTAACTGCTCTATCAAAGTCGTACACAAAGCTGTACATAAACACATACAAAAGGGGTATCATCTCTACACCGAGTAAACACCCAAAACTCCAGCCCTGGTGCCGTTCAAAATACAGTTCACACATCATGCCTCCTACGACGAGACCGCTCATCTTCCCTTCCGTTGCCCACCACACCGCCTCTTCTCCTGCCGCTGTCGTTTCTTCCACTGTGCTGACCGCAGTGAGGTGGATCAGGCCTCCAGTGATCACCCGCCTTATCCTGCCAGCTATAGCCCCTTCCCTCTCTTTCTTCGTCATCCTCCTCCCCGCCATCATACCTACGCTTCCTCCCCTCATCAAGCGAAGGGTACTGCACCCCCCTATCCCACCCCTCAAGACTAACATTCCCTGGTGGCTCGCCCCGCCACCTCATCCAGTTCTTGAGTTCATGTAAAAAGAGTGCTGTCCTGTCATCACCTGTGTCGGGTAGGGTTATATAATCTCTGAGTAGATTCTCGGCGTGGGCGGCTCCGGATGGAGACTGGAGGTCGACGGTTTTGAGCATGGCAATTACGTACTCGAGAAGAAACTCCCTGTTTTGATGGATGCTGTCCCCCGCTGAGGGAGCTGCCGCAGTTGGGGGGAAGAAGACCTGCAGTTCTCGGCGGAGGAAGAGGCGGGCTTTGGATAGGAGATGGGGGGTGGAAGAGAGGACGGCTGGTGAGGGCACGGATGGAGAGTAACTTGTGTGGGGGGAGGAGCCGATGTCTAGGGGAGGGGTGTTAGTACCGGA